GTAGCTGCTCAAAAGTTACTGCTGAGAAGAAGTGGTGAAATGATATCTTTACAGGAGAGAGACAAAGACTGATTACTCTCAATGGTTTAGCTTTCATTAAAGTCCCAATATGAACACTCTTGAAGCTATATGAACTCCTGTAAAAGTTTGAAGGGTCAAAAGACAACTAAACAACTTGCCTGAATTGTAAGGAGTAATACAGGACATGTGGGATAATATTTTAAACACATGTTGAAAACAAGATTTTATGCTAACAAATAAAATTATTAGTGCATTGTACGATGTATACATTTTTATTTTCTATTTTCTGTACATACAATAAATTCACCAACTTGTTGTTATTAGTCATTCTTTGTTTCTCGTATATGAGTATTGCTTGTGTTCTAGTACTGTGTATTAAAGTGAAAACAATTCTATGTTACTGCTCAAAGTTTTAAATGAGAGATATGGAAAAATCAGCCATATATGAATATTTCTGATGATTTTATTGTTTGTACCTAAGTTTATTCACTTTGATTCAAACAATTGCCCACTTTAAATTCTCTAACCGTAAATGTGCAGAAAGAAGATTGTTTATGTTGGAAACATTTACCCTTAAAAAAAAAAAAAAATTATTATTGGAATTTTACCTACATTGTACTTTTACTTTTTACGTAGATGAACACAGTAAAGAAAAAGAGAAGTCCAACCAGAAGTCCCGTAAGAGTGAAAAGTCTAGCAAAAAGGCAAAGCATCATTCAGAGAAGTCCAAGAGTGCAAACTCACCAGAGAAGAAACAAAAGTCAAAGAAATCAGGATTGTCATCAGACAAAAAAAAAAGTAGCAATAAACGCAAGAAGCGAAAAAAATTGAAAAATAATACATCTTCTACTTGTACTACATCATTTGTTGCAGAAGAAATGCCAGAGCTAGAAAATTGTCTTATGCCACCAGTTCTTTTACCAGCTATTCCTTGTGATGGTGCAACATTAGGACAAGTACAAAGTCCATCTTTTGAGCCGGATGCATCTCCACCAATCCTACAGGCATCAGTGATAGAACCTGATGAAAAGTTGTTGTTTATGGAAGGCACAGACAAAGAAAATCTGCCTGTTAAAGAGAAACCCAGTTTCTTGTTAAATCCAGCACCATGCACAAAATTAAAGGTAATTTGTGCTTTCTTGCCCTTTGTTTTTATGTGACCCTGTCTTTATAGTAACTTTTTGTTACTCTATATCTTACATGTGTCCTTAAAGTATTTCTTGGTTGTAACCAGTCTGGATATATTAGTTTGATTAAATTCTATTTAATGTTATTTAAGTTAAAGATTCTCCTCTGGGTCAGTGGTAAGTTTATGGACTTGCGAATGCTTCCCTACAGTGGACAGAGTGTGGAGAGCCCGTTGCGTAGCTTTGCACTAAGAACACATCAATCGTGTTGTAGAGAAACGGGTAGAAAAAAAAATCATAGATTCCATTCTTAAAACATAAAAGTTATTTTGAATAACAAATCCAGAGTAATATTTATTTAAAAAAAAATGTAAATTAGAACTTAAATATTGGCTCTGATATTTACTGTCAGTGAATCTGTATTGTTTTATGTTTCTAACATTTCCTTTGTGGGTACTCAAACAAACCAAAGAAAATTAATATTTATTTCATGACTATAGGCCAGATAATGTTTTCGTATTTACTTGCTGCATGTGTATTAACTTTAATTTTTAATCATTTGAAAGTCCCTTGATTTATTTAATATTTGCTTATTTCATGACAAAACTCTTATTTTGCTTGTTACTTTACAAAGGTTTATGGGTTCCCCTTCCACTATACAGCTAAACAGTCAGCAACCCAAGATCATATGACCTTAGTGATTATCACCACAATGAAGTAATACTATAATTATAAAAAATATGGACATTAATGAAGCTTTTTCACTTTTTTTGAGCTACAGCTTTGCTTATTTTTGAGGACTTTATTTTGTCATATTCTGTGATGTTTTTATATTTTGTTTTTTATAGCTCTCTTAACATATTTATTGACTTAAGTACTAGTTAGTTTAGTATTTGGAACTGCGTGTTTTGTTTTTCTGAAACACAGAGAATTGATTAATCCAGAACATATTATTTATGTTTTGTTGTAAATTAAGCTTAGCTGTATTATTTACTATAAAATAACAATATGGGAATGATTTGGAGAGAATTTCTCTTGGTTACACATTACTGGTAAGCTGTCCAAAGCTTTCAATATATTTTTTGTAAAAGTGCATTTTTAAACTGTCATTATGAATGAGTAAAAACCTACTTCAAAGTAATAGCACTAATGCAGTTTCTCAGGAAGAATTTTTTAACATTATTTGGTCAAAAACTTACAAACGTTGAGACATTAAAAAAAACTTGAATTCTTGTAAAGTTTTACTAGTATTTCTGTCATGTTTTAAAAAAGATATATACCCCTTAATTTTAACAGGAGCAAGACCAAGAGAGTAGAGTAACTGAATGGGATAAAGACCATGTTTCTGATCCAGAGCATGTAGATCAGGAAGTTCCTGTACCACCAGTTTTTAATGATAAGGAGAATGATGAATCATTCCAAGTAGCTTATATTACGATACCCCAGACATGTATTGAAGAAGTCAGTAAAGCTGATGTAGAAGAACATCCTGACTCCTTAGATGAGAAAGGCCAGTTGAATGAAGAAACAGAACAAAGTGTTCTCAACCTTTTGAGAAGAGACCAAGATCATTCTCATGACTGGGACCCTGAAGATTATGGACCTCCTCAAATGGCATCTGAGCAAGAGAACACTTTATCCTCTTTTGATATTCCACATTCTAGTTGTGATGACATAGAAGAAGATGAATGTGTAGAAGATTCCATTTTACCTGGAGAGTTTGATGACCCAGTATCTTGCTCTCTTTCCACAGAGTTGCCAATTAATGAAGAAATTTCAAGTCCAATAATTGTTGTATCAGAAGCTACAGATTCTGTAGCAGAACAGCTGGAGGTAGACACATCTGTTCATCAGCTTCCACTTACACCAATTACTCCACAGACACCTGGTTCTAATCCTCCTCCTAACATTACCCATAGCCAACACATGTGCAACCTAGATGAGGCCTTTCATGAGCAGCATCAGGAAAACACTATTTCCTCAGGTGTAGAAAACTCTATGGCTTGCACACAGGAAACGCAGGTGCTGATCAACTCAAGTAATAATGCTTCTAGTCAGCTGAGTGATGCCACTAAATTCGATGAAAACCTAGCAGGGGAACTTCACAGTAATCTTGAATGCTTGCATACATCATCTCCAGAAACTGATCTTCACACTTATGACCTTTCACAGAGAATGGATCTTGTTGTGGAAGCCAACCATACACCTCAGCCACCATCCTCCACTCCATCCACTCCCAGTGGATTTGTAGGAAAACACAACTCAACTCCAACTCCACAGGACCTAGTTAATATGGGGGTTTATACTCCTGACTCATCAACGAACAGTGTTAATTCAAATAGTGGTTTCAACTCTGTGGAAATAGATGTCACACAGTTGGGCCTGGAGTCACCAACTTCTATTAGCAGTGGTGAGATGGCTCAAAACTCTGTTGAACCTCCTCAGCCAGCACAAACTCCACAACCTTTCCCTGACTGTGCTCAGCTACAGAACAGTTATTGCAGTGCTGCTCAACCACCACATGGGGCAATGGCTGCAGCCGTAGCTGCTATTGCCCAAGCCCAGCGACAAGCTCACCTCCATTCCTTCAGCTGTTCATCTAGTGGCCTAACAAATTGTAGTAACAGGATAGCACCTCCCCAACAGAACTCTCATACTTCTGTGTCACATGGACATGCTGTTTCTTCTCCTGTGTCAAACTTAGTGCAGAGTAATATGGTTAATGTCAATTCTCCCTCAATGAACACTTTACTGGTAGGACAGTCATCCATGTGTTCCTCACCTAACTACATGAACACGGTAAATATGGCAGTGACAGGAGGAAACCCGGGCGGTTCATACATGGTAGGGGTGCCAGTGGCTACGATGATCCAGCACCAGTCACCAGCTCTTGCAGTTGCTGCTCATTCACAGCAATTTCAACAGCAGGGACACCATAATGTAAATATAGGAAATCAAGTTTCTGTCACAATATCTGGAACTATGCAGCGCCTCACTCATGTCAATGTTGGTCTTCCTCCTTCAGCAGTCTCTGCTTGTGCAGTATCCTCGACAGTTCCAGCAGGATTCCACCTTCAGCCACCTAATTACTCCTGTACTCCTACACTAAATCCTACACCAGCACCTAATCCACAATCTCATGCTAACTACAGCTGCAGCCTTGCCAAGCTTCAACAGCTTACTAATGGAATCATGGATATTGGTCCCCCTCATATGTCTCCTTCTTGTAGCACTATGACTCCATCACCAAACCTAACTCCTCCTTCACCACAGGTAAATATCACTCCTCCTCCTCCCCAAATGCAGCGTGGGATTTCCAGTCTGCAGCCTCAAGGATCAATACCGTCCAATGCAGGCCACAGCTACGGTCAGTACAGCCATCGTTACCATGCTCGGCAGATGCAGCGAAACTCTAGTGTAGCAATTGGCCACAATCTAGTAGCAGCAGGGTACCAGACTTTAAATGGGGTTGGCTACCGTATGCCACAAGGACCTCCTCCAGGAGCAGCAGCAATGGTTAACACAGCAGGTTACATTACCAATGCTGGATTCATCAACTCCTCACAGTTACAGACTGCTGCCGTCCCCATGGGCGTTGTGAACTTCAACATGCACCCTCAAGCTCAATACCAAGAGTCTATTCAAGCATCAAGACCCCAGAACACAATGTACACTGCATATGGATATCTGAATGGAGGTCTGACCCCTCAGGCCTTGAACCCTGTTATGAGACGATAGCCATCCATGAGATTTTCAGAAGCCAGCTTAACTTTCCTATTGTAATCTAGATACAGTAAGGTGTTTTTTTAAAGACAAATAGTATACACATGAATAGGACTGTACAGGAACATCTAAAAAGGTCCTTAAAAAAGCTGAATAGTTGTGATTTCAGACTGTACATTTCAGAGGTGAACTATTTTCTCTTAACCGACTTTTTTGAATGTTTTATGAGTGATAGAAACAAATTTGGGTTTTCTTTCTGGCCACATACGCAATATCACTTTTATTGGTGCTGGCCGAAATGGATCATTTCAGCATACCAATCTGTGTAACATTGCTTATATAGATATTTTTGTTTCTGTTGTTGTATGCCAGTTGTGTACATACTGCTGTTAGAAACATAACATTTTGGACTTTGACTCGTGCTCTTTTCTTGTTTCATAATGATGTAAGTAAATGTGTAAATATTATATATATAAATATAAATAAATATATATAAATATATACATACATATATATATTCACCATTGGGTTTTAAGGGTGGGGGAGCATCCACTTTCGTTTTGAATGTGATAGTAATAGAACTTTTACTGTTAGGTTTGTACATAAACTGTTGGGTAATGATTCATTAAGAATATAGGAACATTACTGAAAACAATCAAGAGGAACTTACTGAAACACTTGAAATGGCTAGTTTGATTTTAAGCTTTTTATAGCAAGAAAAAACTATTAAGTAATAGTTCAAAAGAAAGTTGAAATTGTGATTTTTATGCAACAAATCTAAAAGAAATGTATGTATACTCATAAACAATTAGACATAATTAGAGATTTTAGAGTTTGTATATTCTAAATATTATAATCTTTTTTCTTTTTTTTTACATTCATTATTGTCCATATACTTATTGTGAAGAACGTTTTCATCAATTTACATCAAAAATAAGGTTTGCCTGTCAATGGGTTGGACAGGCCTCACGTCATAAAAACTTGTGATATTATTCATAACTGCTATATCATCATTTCTTAACAGACAAACATATTGACAATAATTGCAATGATATTAAGAAAAGAGTTTGATCCAAGACCAATTCAGCCAACTGATATTAAAGATTTTTAATCTGCAAGTTGCATGTTGACAGGTGACTGTTTTAATTGTGGTTGTATTCAGTACTATTAATGCTTATTCTTATACTATAGTTATGCGGTGTTATAATGGAAAAAACAGAGACGCTCCTTTCTAGAAGTGTACGCATTCTTAAATTTTAGTAAAACAGCTTGCAATTATGGTTTGTTTTGTGGGAAAAAAAAAGCTATAGAGTATATTTTTGAGTATCCGTTTTTTTTTGTGCCTTGATGTAGCTGTTGATTACTTCATAGTGTTATGCCACCTGTCATTGTTCACCCTCATTGCTGCTGTATATAGTGCTAAACCAGAAATAAATGTCACCCTTTGCACTTGCAACTTGGCCTTTCTTGTATTTTTTAAGTTCTTGAAATATGTTTGATTTTATAAGTTTAATGAACCAAGAGTTATGATATAACTGAAAAATTTACATAATATTTATAGTTTTCTGTTCTTCTTAATTAGGCCAAAATGTTTCAAGCCCAGTTACTGTTGCACTGTTGTTCTCAATATTACTGATAAAAGCTTCTAATGTAAGTAGGAAGAGGACTCATGCTGACTGAGCTAAAGGGTAACCTACTAATAAGACTTATTTTTTTTTACCAACTCAAACTACCAAAACAATAGAACAACATTAATTGAAATTACACTTTTTGATATTTCTCAAGGTTAATGAAAACAATGTCCACCGTTTTATTTCTACCAGGTTTTACTATAAATATCATAATTGATAAATAAAGGTCTTGCCATGGAAATCATTGTCAACTATTTAAAGCAGTGGCAAAGATTAAATGGATATGCGGACATCCAAATGTTAATTCACTTTTGAACAGAAGAATTTTTTTTTTCTTATGCCTTATTATGTAATTTGTAAGGAAGCTTTGAAAACAGCAGCTTAAAAGAACAGGCTGATTCATTACTAACACTACAATTATACGACAGTGTAAAAAGTCCAATAACCTGAGCTTTCAGCAGGTAGACCTTCCTTGTTCAGCTCTAGCCTCAGCAAGTCTGAGTGATTAAACATTGGGTTAAATTGGGTTTCAGTGCCTGCAATGTGTTTAGCATAGATAGCCTGTTGTGTAGTTTTTCACTTAACAACAAACAAACAAGCTTTCTTTGGATATGCTTTACCAAAATGCTCAAATTATCAGGTTTTATAAGTTGTGATTTATCCACTCCTTTTTCCTCCTGATGTATTTTAGGAACTTCTGTTGTAGACCACTTTACAAATACTATATAGAATGATTATCTGTGCAGTAACACACCATGTGCACTGGTGGGTCCAAGATTTTCAGAAGTTGGGAGGGGCATAACCTAATGTGGCTGGGTATCAAGGGGCCAACTTTAAGTGACAAGATTATGGAAAGAAGTAACATGTCTTTGGCTGCAGAGTGTTGGTTTTGGGTGGGGAGGGAGGGCCTATGCCTTGTGTGAATGATCTTGTAATCGGTCTTGTGCAAAACAAAGAATAAAGTTGTTAAACAAAGCCTGTAACATTTGCACACAAAACTAATTTAAGAAAAAAAATGTTTTACTTTTTAAGATGCTGAAACATAGAAATAATTATAGAAACACACGTACAGGAATCACAAACAATGAGTAATGGTAATTAAATAGTGAATTTATTAATGATGCAAGACATTATCACGGAAAATATAAAAGACAAGTGAATAAGTTGCACAAGCATTGGAATTTTGTATGTGCTATATGCAGAGTATTACACGTTGTTTTCATGCTGCAATACAGTTTATCATTGTCCTATATTTCTCCCCACAATTCAGTTAACTTGATCAGTCACCTTTCGACTTTCTGAGGTTTTATATAAACGAAAAAAAAGTATCAAGAATGTTGATATCAGAACTTTTGCAGGTCAAGTCAGGGCTATGAGTATTCCATTAGCCTCTTTGCCATCAAGATATGGTTTCACTACATTTGCTATATGCTTGAAATTACTGGCACCATTGGATGAGATGCAGCCCCAATTTTGTACTGATTTTGTCCTGCAATATATACTTGTTGAATGCATTATTAAACCAGTAGAATACAGAAATCTGTGCTTTAGCAGGCCACTACATTTTCTACTTCTTTTGTAGTCGACTACGGATGTTGTTTTTACATTGTTGTTGTTTCTGTTAAATCCTCTCTTCCCCCCACCACCCCCTTCCATTATTTTATTTAGGAAAACTTGGGTTTGTATTCCGTTTTGAGGATATAAAGCTAACTAGAAGAAGTTTGCACAGGTAAAAAGTCTGAGCTCCTAAATGTTTAATGAGTTAGTGATTATTTATTCAAGTCATGCTTTCAAGGTACTAAGCCCCATGCATTTTAATTATCTGATCGCAGCATGTGATGAAAAATGCTAGAGTTGTTTAAATACATCATTTGCTGTAAGTCTGGGAATAAGCATTTCAGTTATTACATGGTTGTGCAAGGCTTTTGTGTGAAGATTCTTTGTGATGACGTCAAAAGAGGCGTAAGCATTAGGGCAAATACGACATTGGTTAGTGTGCTCGAACTGTGAATTCCGGGATTTGTGGTTCATGACTACTTGCCGCAAGAATGCACTCTATACTTTGGGGATGTGGTTACACTTTAACAGTGGCAGTCGAGTCCCACTTTTTTGGTTAGACAAGACTTTGCGATAGGAGCTGTTGACTAGCTGTCTTCACTGTGGCGTATCAGTTCAAAATTAATGATGGATATGTGTAGCTTTGCCCAAAATTCTGAAACAAACAGTTATAAGCATCATTCACTCATTGTCTACCCTTTCGTCAAATAGTACAGGCAGACTTAAAGGAGCAGGTGATGAGGAAATTTTTGAAGTATTTAAAGTGGTGTTTTATTATGATATGAAAACATTTGTACGTTGAAAAGGTAAAGACAAAGATTATACAAATACTTTGACATTTTATCATATACACCTGGAAAAAAGTTAAGCACCCCCGTGTTTTTTTCAAGTGATTCAGATTCGACGTTCTTGTGACTGATTATAAATTACCATTCAATCTAAACGTGTTTATCAAATGAAATTATGCATTATTGGGCACAAGAAAACAAGATTATCACCGTAAAATA